AAAGACGATTTTTTAAAAAAATAATTAATAGTAACATGTAGTAAAAGATGAAAATAAAAACAAAATAATTAATAAACTAAATAATATGAACGGAAAACAATTGACTCGCTCGTAATCAACAAGCAAGTCACATGTACGAACTGTTGAGTCAACTTACCGTAAGTGTCGGTCCGCGTCATTGGTCCACGCATACCTGTACCAGTGCTACGAGGGCCCTGTCCAGGTCCACGCACTGGCATGGGACCAGCAATCATACCTGGATGCGAGGGTGATCCTCTGCAATACACAGTAGATGTTCAATAATTTTTTTCGTTCGTTTATTGTTTGTGATTCGTGCTTCTGGGCTTGTTTATTTAAAGATCATTAAATTTCAAGCCGACATGCAGATGGATGAAAATAGTGTGAAAAAAACTTGATTACGTACAAAGCATTGTCGTACCCGGTGCGGCTTTGCATCATCTGTATCATTTGCATCATTCTACGCTCTCGCGCGCGCAGCATTTCTTCCTTTTTCTTTTTGTCGGATGGGGGCTTTGCCAGCGATACTTCTATGTGAGAACCGAACATTTCTTTGCCGTTCACCTCTCGCATCGCCTTCAAACACATACGAACAATTGTTATAAAAACCATAGCTTTAAAAACAAAAACAAAAAAATCAACAAACAAAAAAATTATACCTTCACGGCACAGTCTCTGTCTTCGAAATGAACAAAAGCGTAATCTTTAATTTTCTTCACCCTCTCGATTTTGCCATACTGTTCGAAACACTCTTTCAATTTTTCTTCGGTACAATCTTGCGTCAGGTTTCTCACGTACAGTACACGTACCTGTAAACATAAAAAATCGATTTCTCACGAGGTGAACTCTTGAAGGTGCGAATATCGTGTCATGAATGAAAGTTGCTTACTTTGGACATGGTTTGTTCGTCAGGTTCTTCTTGGGGATCAGCCCAGTCGACGATGATGTCGCAGCCCCAGACCTTCATGCGGCCAGTGCCGAGTCGTCTTTTGGCCAGCGAGGCGGCCTTGTGCGACTCATACTCGAGGAAACAGAAGCCTCGGTTCTTTTTCTTGTCGTCGGGCGAACTGTAGATTATCACCTCTGTCAGGCCGGCTATACAATGTACGAGGGAATGGGCGAGAACAAAATCAAAAAAGGCAGCGAGTAAGTATGGGCTTCGACAGATGTGATCGTCAAGCTTTTTTTTCTTCTTTGTTTTTTTTTTTTTTTGTTTTTTTTTTTTTTTTNAGGAGAAGACGAAAGGAAAAAAAAAAAAAAAAAAAAAAAAAAAAAAAACCCTATAGGGATGGACGTAAAGTATCAAGTTTTCGTTCGCCAAGACGCACATTTTCCCCTTGGAAGGTAAAGGAAGAGAAGACTCGGGGGTGCAAACACCACATAGGTATACCTGTATCGCATGCACGAAGCTCGTTGCGCACATGTATACACACGGCACGAGGGATGTATATATATATATATATATATATATGTGTGTGTGTTCAAATAATCGGTATACGTATACGGTGCATAACGTATATATAGGTACACGTAAGGGCGCGGATGTGTGCAGCGCCGACGACGACAAAAGCATACCTATCGTTGCATTTTTACTTTTGCCCCCCAACTCTCGAGTGTATACCCATACATGCATATGTACCTTGAGGGGGAAAATTCGTCAAGTAAGAAAGAGGAGGGCGAACCGTTTGGAAACTAATTACATCACCTTCCGTACATGCGTAGGTATATACGTATAATCTATAGCAACAAATTTTCAAACTATAACCCCCACCCTCCCCCCCCCTACGCCACGAGTAATAATATTTTTGCAGCTGATGCACCACCGTGGTTATACGAGCAGGCGTGTGTGTTCTTGTCGGTGATGCACGCGAGCAGTAACGCTACACATATAAACGAAAAATGTTGCAACTTGATTGGATTATTATGAGGTGAAAAGACAAACTTACGCGTCCGTACAATGTATGTATCGAAGAAAGGAAAAGATAAGGAGGAGAAACAATGAATCACGCAAAGTAATAATACCTGTAGGGGTGGAAGTGGGGTTGGGGGGGGGAGGAAATTCGAAAATAGATGCGCTCGCGTCTATGTCGTGCGGATCATGTGAGACGGCGGAGGGGCATCTCTTATACTACTGTACAAAAAGAAGCTCGATATTGTGTATGTGTACACATACGTTCACGATTTGCGAAGAAAACAACGATTATTGTTATTGTTGTTATTATTTTTGTGTGAGTTACCCAAGGATAGAGAGAAGAAAGCGTTTGTAGCTGGAAAAGCCTTTTTCTGCTGGTAGTTAGTAGGTATAAACGACGAGGGGAAAACGTTTTGATGTACGTAACAATATACGGTCACATCGATCGTGATTTGTAAATATAACTTTCCGCGAAATCCTCGTCCCTCCTCATAACGCACGTATGCACGTAATAATATAACGTCGCCCGCCTTGGATTACTTTGCCATTATGCAAGACAATACGATTTTACAAGTGCGATTTGCGTTGATCAGAGACGAGGGAAAATTCGCAGATTCTTTCGGACTGTGAGTTTTAAGAGCGCATTTTGGGTGAAAGACATCACTTGTATTCGTGGATTTTATCGGTGGTAGACGCCGAGAGAAGAGTATAATAAACCAATCAATTGAAAATTGGTGTGTTGTTTGCTTTTGTATATATTTTATCAATGTTGGATAGTAAGACATTGGCGAGGGAGGATTTGCAAAGTATTTTTTACATGGGGGGGAAAAAAAAATTACTACATGTTTCAATGTAAAACTGTACGCGGCGAAGTTAAGGCGCTATGCCGGATACTATAATTTTTTCCTTCTCGTTCATAAGTAGGTTATTTTTATTATTTAAATATGGGCTGCTTGTTATTAGTCATCGTTACAAGCTTAATCAATACCTCCGATATTTTATACCTATCGGACCACGATTGGCGTCGGTCCATCTAAAAAAGTTTTGGATCATTGCGACCGCGAACACCTTTATTACTTATTTTTAGTTATTTTACAATTCAGATAATGCCGTACAACACAAGGGCTTTCAACTTGCATAAAAACTTTCGCGATTTCGTCGGGCAAACCGGTACCATTTTTTTTTTTTTTCTTTTCATTACCTCTCGACACAATCTACCACGCAAGCGACGAATAAAAGCGTCAAAGTTATTTTTTTCTTTTACATTACCCTCCAAGCAATCGAAAAAAAATCTCACGCCAAGAATCATGTATGCAAGCGCGAACAAACTGCCCGAGATCGGGAAAAGGGGGAACGAGTGCCCACACGAGTGAAAGTATGGTAACGTAGACGCGCGGTCCCGTACAACTCGCCCAGGCGAAAAAAAAACTGCATTCCCATGATCGTGCAACGACGAAAGCCCAGTTCAGCGCGTATACTTGACAAATGTGCACGAGGGAAGAAGAGCGAGCTTGCGCGCATATTTCGTACAAATTCACAACACCACCGGAGCAAACACTTGCACTCAACGCGAAAAACGAGTGGAGATGGGGAGAGAGATATAGAGAGAGCTTTGTGCTTTATTACACGCAGGCGCGGACCGACGGGGGTATTAACCCTTTCGGCGAGTAGGTATATACGGGACAGATCGGTCCTTCCCTCGATCGATCGATTGACCAAGCAATCTATAAACATTGTCCCATCGATAAGAGCCGGGTGATGATGAAAACTATACGAACCGGTTGGTACGTATGGCGCAGGTGAGAAAAACATACCGAAGAGAGCTCTATAAAACGTGTGCGATCAAAGGGCTCGAAATGAAGGTAGTTTGTACAAAGAGAAAGGAATTAACTATGCACGAGTGAGGTGTGGGTGTAGCGGCAGCAGCGGATACTTATCGCTATACGGTTTGCCGTCGCCCCGTGTACAACGTCTCTCGCGACTCTCTGGCGTTGTCTTTGTCGCGATCCAAAGGGAGAAAAGATGATCAAGCATACGCCCTCACTCGGTAGGTACATCGTCGTTTGTACCCTTTCGACTATTCAACGATAGTAATATCATCAATAGAGAGAAAGAAAAAAAAAAAAAAAAAGAAAATGTTAAAGAGTTACCTATTTTGTTGAAATTAATGTTAGATGCAAATTTTTCTCGGCGAAATTTTAGCAAAAAAAAAAGAAAATTTTAACTGTAGTAGACGTTAAAGAATATTGCTACGTGCTTTGAGACTGTGTGATGATAAATCAAAAGCTACTTTTCCTAAACGACTATTTTTGAAGGTTCCTTATTTGATTTTACAATAAACTTTTTTTTTGTATCCTTAAGTGCCAATGTCAGGAGTGAAAAAAGCTATGTATAACTCAAACATTTAAGGTCAAGATTGTCAGATGAGACCTTAATCTATCAGAAACAATTCTTATTATTCTTATTACAGTCATTTGTATAGAAAAGAATATATATAANTTTTTTTTTTTTTTTTTTTTTTTTTTTTTTGTACTTCAAAAATAATTCGTCGGCTTATATTGGCTGTGACTGACCGTGTGTGTGTGTTCAGTAGTGGGATAAGAGAGTACAGATATATAGGGAAATAAATTGTGAGTAACAGTAGTTTCGTCATCTCCTGTTTATATATATTTTTCGTGCTCTTACGCTTGTGTCTGTTGATTTTTTTTTCCTTTTGGTAATCAATATCAAATTTTGTTTTTTTAAATTTTTTCAAGTGACCTTCGAGGACACGAGAGGAAGAGGAGGAGAGAAATTGATCAAAGGACGGTCGGGGACGAAGAAAGATCGAAACCGGAATGAGGACAAGGAGGACGTAGCAGGTGCCAGGTTTTTTCATTTCTATTCTCCGCTTCTTCTTCGTTAATATACTGCAAACGCAGGGTGGATACGGGAGTGCCTGTCCATTTTTTAGCGAGCCATACACGCCCCAGCCGGTCCACGCACGTCTCCCAGTACCCCCATGCTTTGAGGATCAGTCATGAATTTTTTTTTTTTTTTTTTTTTTTTTTTTTTTGTTTTCTGCGTGAAAACTCAAAGAATGTTGAAACAAAATATAAATTGGAAAAAAAAAAAATAAATAAATAAATAAAAAGTTTGCGTAAATGAGTAAGAAAAAAATAAAATAAATGAGGGGTAGAGAATGAAAAAACTAAACTGCGAAATCATACGTAATTGTGTTGAAATGAAAATGACATAACGTAAAAATGAAATTATTGATATGTTTTCAAATAAGTTTTGATGATGACAAAATTTAACGTTGATGGCTCCATGAATGATAAGTGATGATTTTTCTCTATATACCTTTATCAAATCGTTTTTCTCTCTTTTATTTCTATAAATCTTGANTCTTTACTCTCTTCATCCCTTATTTGGTCGCTTCGATCACCACATCTATTCTCCGTGTGATGTACAATCGGATCTTTATGTGTTTTTACACTCATATCACGCAACGTGAATCCAGATAATAATTGATTAGCATTGGTAATAATAAAATATCATAAAAAAATATTCCTTTTGTTGTCCTCCACGGATTCCTACATCCTCTAGGACAGAGAGGACATCAAAATAATTGTAACAAATGGTGAACGCTATTTTCATCCGATGGGAATTTACGTCCATACTTTTCCCTCTTATACATCAAGAAAAATAATTGTTTTAATACTGTTGTAAAATATTACATTTCGGTTGGATAAAATAATACTCCTCGACATACTCCTACACTTGGTTTATCGACAAAACTATGCGGTATCATGTTTATCCACCACAATTACAATTATACCGATGTACAATATCATTTTTTTATGTCCCCTGAAACGTTCGTGCACACCTTAATAATTGCTATGCTCTCGTTGCAAAGTTTCGTAACAAAAATAAAATAAAAAAAAAATAAAAAATCTTATCGCTTAACTACAGGAATACGTGAGGAATACATGTTACATAGTGCCCCACAACACAGGACAAACAGTTATCTGATGGTTGTCTTTAAGAAAGGAGAGAAAAATATACGAATGTTTTAGGAGGTACAAATAAAAATTTACACTCAAAGTGTGCTAAAAATTTAAAAATCATAAAGACATTTCCGTACGTATACAGCTCGAAGACAAAAAAATGTTGATGTTGATCCCTGCTCTTAATCTTGTATACTTGAGTTACGACGTGCAATTTTTGGAGTTATAAGACACGTAGGATAATTCTAAAGATGTTTTTTTTCCGCAAGAAGTGAAAAAAATGACATCAGAGGCTCGTCTGACATTATGTAACGACTTGTGACAGCAATAATGTCCCATACTCCTTGGTACATCATCGCTATAAAAAAAACACCCCATGTGATGTACCGATTAAATTACTTTATTCTTTGTTATCTATCTTTGTTTTCTCCCAAACCGTATTTTTATATTGAACCCCCCTCCCCCCCACCAATGATATAATTATCTCTCGTCTATCTTATGATAATTACTCAACCGATTCATTTGAAACCTCCACGATTTTTTTCGCGAAACCTATCCATGTTTACAATAAATTGACGTTAAGCGTCATAACAACACCCGTGTGCGAGACATCGCGAATTTCAAGTGCTGGACAATATACGTAAACACATGTATGCACGTGTTTTATATACACACGTCTCGTTTTACACGGTTCTTGGTCGTCGAGGCTCCAGAACCCCCCCCCCTTGTATGATGTTTCTCCTTGGAGCACGTGCTTAGACGACAACAATGGGGCACGAGTAACCGTACACTCTTCTTCGCCTCTCTAATCGTCCCGATAGCGTACACTATATTATACACGGCAATTATTCAATAAAGATCGTAATCAAGCTCCAAAAGTGATACGCCGAACGATTATGTATGCGATTAGAAAATTTCCAAATTGTAGTGCGCCTGCAGTACCACGTGCCGCTTTACCACAGTACACTTTATCAAGTGGGTCTGTGATTTTTATACATCGATAAGTCACTGTATACCACAAATGGACATGAAATTGGTGACCCGATAATCAAAAATCCATCGGCATCGTCGTGTACATTTCCGTAACTGACGATAAATGAAAGCATCCAAAGTATTGTATGATACCGATGGACAACGCGACTTTTTTTTTTTTTGTCCCAAAATACAGCTCGGCAATTCGGCGTAAGCCAAGAGAGAGAGACGAGGGTATTCCAAAAAGAACAGTATAGAGGGGAAGGAAGCACACACCGATAGTTGGTTGTTGTTGTTGTTGTTGTAGTTGTTGTTGTTGTTGTTGTTGTTGTTGTCGTTGGAAGAGGAGAATAGTGGAGAGAGCGTCGCCGAGAAGTGACTGCGGAGGGTGCACTAGCCCGGACTTAACCAACACTTAATTGCCATCCGCCGACGAGCGATTTTGTCTTGGGTCGTTCTTCCTACGGCTGCTGCTGGCCTTCCTCCTTCCTTTGTTGCGATTCCGTTGCTCCGCGATGATCCTTCGCCCACTGCAGGCGGCCACGACGACGACGTTGGACTGCTGATGCTCCCGGCGCTGTCGACGATGTTCCTTTTCTTCTTCTTCTTCTTCGGTTCCTTGTTCGTGATGATAATGATGATGATGATGATGATGCTGGTGGTGATGTTAGCGTCGTTGTTGTTGTTGTTGTTGTTGTTGGTGTTACGTTGGTGTCAATTTTGTAGGCACTCGCGACTCGCGGACGATCTTGTGGTTGCAAATTTTTACTTTTGTCACTGATTCATCGAAAGTAATTTTTTTTTTTTTTTTTCTTCAATTTTTCAATTTTTGTTTCCAACTTTTTTTGGTTGTTTTTTCCAAACAACGAACGCTTCGTGCGGACTTTTTGGTTTTGTTACGATTTTTCAAACTACAAAACTGTTGCTTGTTTTAGACGAGGTAGCGCTTTCGCGGAGAAAAGGGAGGAAAGAAGGACGAGAGGGGGTGGGATGGAGGGCGGAAGGAAGAAGAAACCGGGGCGGGAAGGGGGCTCCAAGGTAATAGCGAAAAACTAAAACACCACTGGCCGAAAACTTCCTTTGCTTCTGTTTTTTTTTTTTTTTTTTTTTTTTTTTTACTTCCCTTCTCGGTAAAAACGGCACTCAATAATTTCGCGGTCGTTTCACCAAACAAATGCACTGAACTGTTGCTTCGGAATTTTGCTCCGTTCACGACATCGAGAGTACATGTACGAACTCGGGTTTTCGTCAACTATTATAACACACGGGAGATGGACTAGTAAGAGATCGAGGTGAAGCGAGTAAAAGAGAGACAGAGAGAGAGAGAGATGGTAAGAATGAAAGAAAGAAAGAGAGAGAGAGAGAGAGAGAGTGAGTGAGAGAGGAAAGGCGCTCCTTGTAGTGTATTGTCGGATTCAGGGTTGAATTTTAGCGCCAGGGTGCCGCGCGGCGTCGTGCCTACATAGCCGTAATGCATAAATTGGACTGGCGCGACTCGCGAAAATATTGCGCCGCAGAGTACCCAGCGGTGTTATAGCACTATAGTCGCGACACCGGCAGCTTGCCTCGGCCGCCGCCGTCGTCGCCTTGATCGTCGCCGCGAGGAGGTATCTTTTGCCCTCCTCCTTGCACCCACCACTCGGCTAACGCAAACCGGTGCTGGCGCTGGCGGTATACATATATACATATAAAACCGGGTATACCCATGCGTTAGAGAAAGAGGAGTAGGACGAGCAAAGGCATCGGTGCTGGTGGTGGTGGTCGGGCGAATGCGCGCGCGGCTGGTGTACCTTTTATTTTCGCCACCACCGTATATACATACCTACCCGCGTCCGTTCGCGAACTACCACCACCATCACCCACCCCATTATACACAAAATGTACGCATTTGGTCTCGCACCAGTCGTGGTGGTGGTCGTCGGCGACCTCCCCCCTCCCAGCTCCTTCTTCCTCCTCCTCATCCTCCCCCCATGCATGGGAACTCTCTGGTACAACCAGTTTGTTCCCTCTATATATATACACGTACACACACGCACGCGCGTGTATATGAGGTATTCCTCTCCTGGTCTTATCTTCCCTTCTTCCGTTTATCCACTTTGCTGTTTTTCTGAAATAGCAGCACGGAACAAGAAGGAAGGAGAAAGAAAGAGGAAAGTACAGCTCGTGCACAAGTACAAGTATTGGGGCTCCGCCTCGATTCACGTATCGGGTGAGGGTTGCGCGCGATCTACACACACACACGCGCGCGCGCGCGCGAAAAGATAGGCTTCATCCCTCCGTATATTTACGTATACCAATGATCTCCGTTAATGAGATATCGAGTACGAATCATCCCCTTTTCGACTGAAATTGCACCAGAGGCTTTTCTTCTGCCTCCTTCCTCGTGCAGGCCAGTGGAAAGTCATCCACGGGACCTTTCCTTTCTTAAATATAATGTCGAGTATAATGTACACCAAAAGTGAAGTGTGATGCATACCAGACCTCACGAGTAATCTAATTCGCACCGACTCCCCACCCTTCTCCAGTAGCCAAGAGACCCTTTAATCGGAGCACCCCTCTGGGATCTGATATATATGTTTTAATTTCTAAGGCTTCCAACTACCCCCTCCTCCCCCCCCCCACACACATACGCATCTCTTACTTCCTCGACTCTTAGCTCGAATGTATATATACACACACACACGTAACTTATGGCGCACCCCCCACTGCTTTGGAATCTAATGCACGTACTTACAAGGTGTAGATCTCTGACAGGTGGGAGTTTCAGATGTTATCTCCGACGACGAAGTTACAAGAGTATGGATATAACAACAACAACAACAACGATGTTTTTCCACCCTTGTGACCACCACGAAGGACACGAAGTTCATTTGGTAAAGCTGAGAATTTTATCAATTTGGTTTTTTTTTTTTCTTTTTTTTTTGTTTTTCCTTCTCATTTTACTATGAAATATCTTTCCGGACCAACTCGTGCTCAAACTGGAGATGGAAGTGAAACAAAGCACTAAGAAAAATAGGTACTCGATTGAATCTCCCTAAAGGATGGGAGTGGCGTCGGGGGTATACAACCTCCGAAAACTCCGTCCCAAAATACAGCTCGGCAATTCGGCGTAAGCCAAGAGAGAGAGACGAGGGTATTCCAAAAAGCCACCTTATATATAATGTACACCACCCCCCGAGAAAGAGAGAGAGAGAGCGGACGTATAAATAGATACACCAGTGCGAAAACTTACTGTAGGAAAATTGTACTTGTGGATGGTACACATCTACCGGGTGCAGTCCGGGGGTGCGGTGGTGTGCACGTACTTTTGTACTAGGCCCCGAAAATTTTGGCAAAAAGGGCCCTCCGAGAGATCGCGTACGTCTAAAAAATATATTCAGTACATGGACAGCGGTGGAAAGAAAGCATAAGCGAGCAGAGGGTTTTTTTTTTTTTTTTTTTTTTTTTTTTTTGCGGGGCAAAAAGAGGAGATAAAAGTAGCAAACGCGAGCAGAGGAGAGGGAATCCTTGGGTATCTAGATATATATTTGTAAAAACGGAAGGAGAGAGAGAGAGAGAAGAAGAAGAGAGGGACCTTGAGTGTATATGGTATAAACGTACGTGTATCCATGGGACATTGGGCAGAGTGTAAGGGAGGCCAGAAGTGGGGTGTTCTTGGTCTCTTTGCTCCTTAGCTGCTCTTCTATATATCGTATGGGTATATACAGGTATATACCATGTACTGCGAGCTGCAGCTCGAAAAAGGCCAAATTGGAAGGAGCAAGAGTAAGTATGGAGAGAGAGAGAGAGAGAGACGCACACGACGGAAAGTGGTGGGTATAGCGAGAGAAAGAGGAGAAGGACTGGAGAGGCAAGGGGGAGGCGACGAGAGTTCGTGAACCTTTGCGAGGCAAACGAACGCTGTGAGTATACGCTCTATATGTATATATGTATATATGTATGTTCACGCGGGTATATAATGTACAGCCGGCGCGATCAACCGAGAGGAGGAGAAGAAAAGTATATATACAGGTATATACGAAGGAGGAGTATATATACAGAAGTAAAGCCAAGCAGCAGAAATCGAGTCTAGTCGACCATACGTATATATACAACTTACGTGATACACATACATTCTCCTTTCCTCCTACATATATATGTTACACACATGTATCCTTACCATTCTCTTTTCTATACTCTTTCTGGACGGCAGCCCCTTGGCTCTCTTTTGTTCATCTTCTTCTTCTTCTTTCTAAATTCTCTCTCCCTTTCTCTCTCTCTGCGAAACGAGTGCAACTAACCTGCCGATTTCGCGACCCACCTTCGGTTCTTGGAATAATCAAGCATTATGTTCAATTCGCGGGTAAAAATGTACGTATTGTTGTAAATTGAAAAAAAAAAAAAAAAAAAAAACTCTTTACTCTCTTCATCCCTTATTTGGTCGCTTCGATCACCACATCTATTCTCCGTGTGATGTACAATCGGATCTTTATGTGTTTTTACACTCATATCACGCAACGTGAATCCAGATAATAATTGATTAGCATTGGTAATAATAAAATATCATAAAAAAATATTCCTTTTGTTGTCCTCCACGGATTCCTACATCCTCTAGGACAGAGAGGACATCAAAATAATTGTAACAAATGGTGAACGCTATTTTCATCCGATGGGAATTTACGTCCATACTTTTCCCTCTTATACATCAAGAAAAATAATTGTTTTAATACTGTTGTAAAATATTACATTTCGGTTGGATAAAATAATACTCCTCGACATACTCCTACACTTGGTTTATCGACAAAACTATGCGGTATCATGTTTATCCACCACAATTACAATTATACCGATGTACAATATCATTTTTTTATGTCCCCTGAAACGTTCGTGCACACCTTAATAATTGCTATGCTCTCGTTGCAAAGTTTCGTAACAAAAATAAAATAAAAAAAAAATAAAAAATCTTATCGCTTAACTACAGGAATACGTGAGGAATACATGTTACATAGTGCCCCACAACACAGGACAAACAGTTATCTGATGGTTGTCTTTAAGAAAGGAGAGAAAAATATACGAATGTTTTAGGAGGTACAAATAAAAATTTACACTCAAAGTGTGCTAAAAATTTAAAAATCATAAAGACATTTCCGTACGTATACAGCTCGAAGACAAAAAAATGTTGATGTTGATCCCTGCTCTTAATCTTGTATACTTGAGTTACGACGTGCAATTTTTGGAGTTATAAGACACGTAGGATAATTCTAAAGATGTTTTTTTTCCGCAAGAAGTGAAAAAAATGACATCAGAGGCTCGTCTGACATTATGTAACGACTTGTGACAGCAATAATGTCCCATACTCCTTGGTACATCATCGCTATAAAAAAAACACCCCATGTGATGTACCGATTAAATTACTTTATTCTTTGTTATCTATCTTTGTTTTCTCCCAAACCGTATTTTTATATTGAACCCCCCTCCCCCCCACCAATGATATAATTATCTCTCGTCTATCTTATGATAATTACTCAACCGATTCATTTGAAACCTCCACGATTTTTTTCGCGAAACCTATCCATGTTTACAATAAATTGACGTTAAGCGTCATAACAACACCCGTGTGCGAGACATCGCGAATTTCAAGTGCTGGACAATATACGTAAACACATGTATGCACGTGTTTTATATACACACGTCTCGTTTTACACGGTTCTTGGTCGTCGAGGCTCCAGAACCCCCCCCCCTTGTATGATGTTTCTCCTTGGAGCACGTGCTTAGACGACAACAATGGGGCACGAGTAACCGTACACTCTTCTTCGCCTCTCTAATCGTCCCGATAGCGTACACTATATTATACACGGCAATTATTCAATAAAGATCGTAATCAAGCTCCAAAAGTGATACGCCGAACGATTATGTATGCGATTAGAAAATTTCCAAATTGTAGTGCGCCTGCAGTACCACGTGCCGCTTTACCACAGTACACTTTATCAAGTGGGTCTGTGATTTTTATACATCGATAAGTCACTGTATACCACAAATGGACATGAAATTGGTGACCCGATAATCAAAAATCCATCGGCATCGTCGTGTACATTTCCGTAACTGACGATAAATGAAAGCATCCAAAGTATTGTATGATACCGATGGACAACGCGACTTTTTTTTTTTTTTTTTTTTTTTTTTCTCATGAATGAATCCACGCCACTGTCCGTCGCACGAGCCCATCACCAATCGTGACACATTTGATGTATATATAGTCGGCGTTTCATACTTTTCTTCTCGAATGCCGCGCGCGAGTGCGATATCGTTCATACAACCGATGCGGTCCGACTCCGCGCACGTGGAATCTGAAGCAACAGGTGTTGTATGTATATTATTTTGCGCGAGATTTTGCGCGAATGCAGGCAACGAAACCTCGATACACAGGGGTTTAAATTTCCTTTATTTTTCCTCTACCTCGGATTTGCTGTAAACATGTGAGCGC